ATGAGTTGGAGAACTTCAAGGCAGGGCAGTGAAACTGAATGACCGCTCTTCCTCCCCTTATCACACTCACTGCTCAGAGGATCGATGATGACGCCAGTGTCCATGACCAGCTTCTCTGGGCAATTCACCTCAGTGGCCTGGATGACCTGCTTCTCTTTCTGGCCAGCTCACCTTCTGAGCAACAGTGGAGCCTGCATGTGCTAGAGATTGTATCCCTTATGTTTCGTGACCAGGTGAGTACCTGGCCTATTTCCCCAGTCCCTTCATCCATGTACTTTTCTGCTATATAGCCAGAATTACTCTTGTAATAATGGCCGAATTATCTGGTGGCAGATGGGGAACAGAGTAGCTACCTCTTGAATATGGGGTACATTCAACAGTCCTATTTAATTCACCTTTTCTGTCCTCACTAGGATTGAACCTACAATAAGGAATGACAGTCCTTCTGACTCTTTCCTCCTTATTCCAAATCTAGAACCCTGAACAGCTGGCGGGAGTAGGACAGGGGCGCTTAGCTAAGGAGCGGAGCACAGATGTGGCAGAACTGGAGGTGTTGCGCCAGAGGGAAATGGCAGAAAAGAAGACTCGAGCCCTTCAGCGAAGCAACAGGTGAGTGGCAGGGATCTGCCCTACCCATGTTCCATCCCATCAGTATGGAATGCTAAGGCCAAAGGCTAAGATAGTGGTGATCAGATAACACTTTGCAATTTCAGCAGGCTCTGATGTGCTGATGAAAGAGAATGGGGATAAAGCTTCCAGAGAATTTGAGGAATCACCCTGGACTTTTTTTTTTTTTTTTTTTTTTTTTTTTTTTTTTACTGCAGACATTCTCGATTTGGGGGCTCCTACATTGTCCAGGGGTTGAAATCCATTGGGGAGAGGGACCTCATCTTTCATAAAGGTCTCCACAATGTGAGTATGCTCCCATCTTGGGTGAGAACACTGTGGAGTTAAAGGTACCTAAGAAAGGTAAGCAAGTGGGGCAGCTGGCTGGCTCAGTCAGTGGAGCATGTGACTCTTTATCTCAGGGTTGTGAGTTCAAGCCCCATGTTGGGTGTAGGGATTACTTAAAATCATAAAAGTGAAAAAAAAGAGAGAAAGGTAAATAAGCCTCTCTGGAAGTAAAGCATCTCTGTTCCTGGGCTTAGAAAGTTGGAGACCGTAGGAGGGGCCCCTGGGTGGCTCAGTGAGTTGAGCGTCCAACTCTTGATTTTGGCTCAAGTCGTGATCTCACGGTTCGTTGGTTTGAGACCTATGTGAGGCTCAGTGCTCACAGTGCCAAGCCAGCTTGGGATCCTCTCCCTCTCTCTCCACCCCTTCCCTTCTCGTGCTCTCTCTCTCTTCCTCAAAAATAAATAAATAAACTTAAAAGAATACTCACTGTTGTTTTTTTTAATGTTTATTTTTGAGAGAGTGTGAGCAAGGGAGGGGAAGAGAGAGAGGGAGACACAATCTGAAGCAGGCTCCGGGCTGTCAGCACAGAGCCTGAGTGGGGCTCATACCCACCAACTGTGAGATCATGACCTGAGCCGAAGTCAGACGTTTAACCAACTGAGCCACCCAGGAGGCCCAAAAGAATACTCTTTAAAAAAAAAAGAAAGAAAGAAAGAAAGTTGGAGACTGTAGGAGAAATAGAGCCTCTGGCATTATTGTCTTTACCTGTATCTTCATTTAGTACCAGAGGGAGAGAACCTTCTAAGAGTTTCTTCTGAGAAAATGGTTGCACTAGGGATGTGGAAAGAGCTGCAAGGGGAGGGTGGTAATGAGGAGTAATTCTGATCCCCCAACGTACACCCCCAGCTCCAAAACTACAGTTCAGATTTGGGAAAGCAGCCCCGAAGGGTGCCTAAACGTCGGCAGGCTGCCCAGGAGCTGTCCGTTCAGCGCCGCTCCGCCCTCAATGTGAGACTCTTCCTCAGAGACTTCTGCTCTGAGTTCCTGGAGAACTGTTATAACCGGCTCATGGGCTCAGTGAAGGTGAGAACCTAGGGAGGATGGGATAGGGAGGTGATGGGACCAGTGGTGGGTAAGAAGGGCAGCTGGGGAGGAGCCTGAAGGAGGCTGACCCCAGAGTGTGGACTAGAAGTTGGGCAAGGTATAGGGCACCCTTGAGAGATGGTGAGGATGTTAGGAAGGAGTGGGACAATTGGGACAGTTTTAAAAAAGCTTAGAGAAATTGCCCCAGAGGAAGGGGAAAGGAATGTGGAGAGACCTGGGGAGAACAAGAGAGGGTGGAAATTCTGGTCCTAGAATATGGTTATAATGGTGTCTAGGGTTTATCCCATCGTCATAGGACAAGGAGAAAGTTGGAAGCCCTGGGGTCACAGGGTGGTCTTTTTCTCCTCGACATTAGGATCACCTGCTGCGAGAGAAGGCTCAGCAGCATGATGAGACCTACTACATGTGGGCCTTGGCTTTCTTCATGGCCTTCAACCGAGCTGCCTCCTTCCGGCCAGGCCTGGTTTCTGAGACCCTCAGTGTCCGTACCTTCCACTTCATTGAGCAGAACCTCACCAACTACTATGAAATGATGCTGACGGACCGCAAGGAAGCTGCCTCCTGGGCACGTCGGTGAGTGGGATGAGAACTGGGGTCAGAGTGGGTATCTCAGCTAGGTTGGGAATCTGAGTTCCTGAATTCCAGGTGGTACTTTCTTCCTGTTTCAGGATTAAGGTGGTAAGGATGGGGAACAGGGACTGGCTGGGTCATTCTTTTTGATGGCACCTTTTTTAGGGAAGGTTTAGAAGTGGTACGTTTTCCATGAGCCAGTTTCCTAAGTTGTCCTCCATTTCTCCTCTTTTCCTCATCTCACAGGATGCACCTGGCCCTGAAGGCCTATCAGGAGCTGCTGGCCACAGTGAATGAGATGGACATGTCCCCAGATGAGGCTGTGAGGGAGAGCAGCCGCATCATCAAGAGTGAGACCCTGGCCTGTCTCTGACCCTGGCCTTTCCTATCTCTTGACCACAATCTCACTCTTTGCAGTCCCAACTTCATCCATCTCTCCCTTTACCAAAGTTTCCAGACCAATCCATCCATTCCTTTCTCTTCTCCATTCCTAGACAACATTTTCTATGTGATGGAGTACCGAGAGCTGTTCCTGGCACTCTTTCGAAAGTTTGATGAGAGATGTCAGCCACGCTCTTTCCTTCGTGACCTGGTAGAAACCACTCACCTCTTCCTCAAGATGTTGGAGCGGTTCTGTCGGAGCCGTGGGAACCTGGTGGTGCAGGTACTGGGCAGCCCCGGCATGTGGACAGTTTGGAAAGAGCCATGAGGGAAGGGTCAGAGAACAGGGAACTCTCCTCATATTTCTGCAGCTTAAGCTCACCTGTTAGAACTACTCTGAACTAAGGAGGGCAAAGGGTTTGTTGGTGTTGCTGATGTGAGTCTACTATAGTTTCCTTTTTTCATTTAGATTTATTTCCAGTGTAACATAAATATTTTAATTCATTTAGGAAGCATTTATTAAATACCTACTGTGTGCTAAGCACATAAACTATGGGGATTCACAGTTTTAGAGTTTAGTAATTATGCTGTGATCCTTCTTGGTTATACTTCAGAAGCATTGTAGTAAGATGGAAAGAACCCTAAATTAAAAGCCAGAAGGTCTGGGATCTCATCCTATATTAGTTACCGTTAGAATAACTCAACCTGCTCATATGGGTCCCCAGATCCCTAAACGTGGGATTGTAATATGAGCTTGAAATGAAATAAAAGATTAAAGACGTGCAAGACCACGTTGGGGAGGGACAGAGAGAGGAGGAGAGAAAGAGAGTCCCAAGCAGGCTCTCTATCAGCATAGAGCCTGGCTCAGGGCTTGAACTCATGAAAGGTGAGATCATGACCTGAGCCAAAATCAAGAGTTGGATGCTTAAACCAAGTTAGCCACCCAGGTGCCCCTTTTTTGAGTAGAATTTCTTATCCTCATTGTAAATCTGTTCATTTTACAGGCTTGGTTAAGCTAGAACTGCTTTTGGGAAATCTCTGATCCCAAGAAATAAGTTAAATACTACTCTTAAGTTTTGCCATGGCATTTTATGCTCAGCCATATTCTAGGTCTTATCCATACTGTACTATAATTTACCTATCTACCCACCTGTCTCAAGATTCCACTAGATTGTATGCTCCTCAAGGGCAAGGAAATACACTGTTCACTGTTGCTTCCCTATTGCTTATGAATAGCACACAGTTGTCATTCCGTGACTATTGATTATTAATTAATTCAGACCTCTGGTGAATGAATTAATAGAGAAGACATTGATGGGAAAAAGTCCTCTTAGCTTTTCTGTCGTCCTAACAATGGTTCTTTCTCCATAGAACAAACGAAAGAAAAGAAAGAAGAAAAAGAAGGTCCAAGATCAGCCTGTTGCTTCTGGTAATGTCTCCTATAGCACAGGGGAACTAGAAGCTATGTGGCCATCCCTGGCCGAGCAGCTACAGTGCTATGCCCAGGTAGGTAGTTGCAGAAAGTCTATCTTTCTCAAGGGTAGTGCACCGATAGGCTGTCTGGGTTTCCCTCCTCTGTTCCCATAGCCTTAATCCCTCTCTAGGATCCTGAGCTCAGTTTGGACTCCATGGTTCCCTTTGATGCGGCCTCAGAGGTGCCAGTGGAAGAGCAGCGGGCAGAAGCCATGGTGCGGATCCAAGACTGTCTCCTGACTGGCCAGGCCCCACAGGCCCTAACCCTCCTTAGGTCTGCCCGGTAAGAACCCTGCTCATCCCTTCTCCTGGATTCAGCTCCTGGATTTCGGGGGTAGGGGGAGGCATTCACTGTGGTACAAGGTTCTTTGCCTTCAATTGAGAGAAGTCCCATCAGAAGCATGGGGGCTCTGTACTGAGCACTGAGTCCTGGGGAGCTTGGATTGGCTTTGTGGGGTTTTTGTTGTTTGTTTTTAAATGTTTATTTATTTATTTTTGGAGAGAGTGTGTGAACAGGGGAGGGGCAGAGAGAGGGAGACAGAGAAACCCAAGCAGGCTCCACTCTGTCAGCTCAGAGCCCGACATGAAGCTCAAACCCACAAACTGTGAGATTATGACTTGAGCCGAAATCAAGAGTCCGACACTTAACTGAGTGAGCCACCCACGCCCCCCTGCTGTTTGTTTTTATTTTATTTTTGAGAAATATCAGAAAGCACAATTAATTGGGGGGAAAATATAGATAATTCTATTGGCTGAAGATAATCATCATTAACATTTTGATGAGTAATCTTCCAGGCTTTTTAATCTTCTGTGTTGTATATAGATCTATACAGCTTCTTTTACAAAAATGAAACATTGTATATGCTGTTTTATAGTATTTTTTTACTTCTTAATATATTGTGAGGATTTCTTAAGAGATACGAGATATATTGCCATAATTGTTAATGGCATCATGAAATGTACATTTGTTCAACCAAATGTCAGACATTTAGATTGTTTGCATGGTGATGTTCATTGCAATGTGGCTTATTTTTATTAAAATTTTTTTTCTTAATATTTATTTATTATTATTGAGAGACAGAGAGAGATAGAGCATGAGCATAGAAGGGGCAGAGAGAGGAGGAGACACAGAATCCAAAGCAGGCTCCAGGCTCTGAAGTGTCAGCACAGAGCCCCATGCAGGGCCCAAACTCACAAACCGCAAGATCATGATCTCAGCTGAAGTTGGACACTTAACCGACTGAGCCACCCAGGCCCCCTAAAGTTTTTTTTAATGTTTCTTTATTTTTGAGAGAGAGAGAGAGAGAAAGAGAGAGCATAAGTGGGGGAGGGGGAGAGAGAGAGAGGGAGACACAGAATCTAAAGCTGGCTCCAGGCTCCAAGCTGTCGGCACAGAGCCCGACACGGGGCTCAAACCCACGAACCGTTAAGATCATGATCTGAGCCGAAGTCAGATGCTTAACCAACTGAGCCACCCAGGTGCCCCTCGTTGCAATGTGGCTTATGAGGGAAAATTTCCCCAGAGTCTTTGTTTTATCTTTGAGTGACAGTTTGCATTCTCTTTCTGGCTGCAAATGAAATTCCTTCTCTCACTTCTCACTTCAAATTATAACTCATATTCTCCCCGGTTAAAGTCTTTTTTTTCTTTGGGCTTCAGGGAGGTGTGGCCAGAGGGAGATGTGTTTGGCTCTCAAGACATTTCTGCAGAGGAAGAGATCCAATTGCTGAAACAGATTCTCTGTGCCCCGCTTCCCCGTGAGTCTCCATTTCCTTCACATCTCTGTCCTTCCAGTTCTTTTCTAGAACCAGCATCACAGAGATCCAATAATCCTCGGTCTTTCTTTTTTGTTTTCTGTTGGGTTTTTTTTTTAATTTTTTAAAGTTTATGTATTCATTTTGAGAGAGACAGAGAGCAAGCGGGGGAGGGGCAGAGTAAGAGGGAGAGAAAGCATCCCAAGCAGTCTCTGCACTGTCAGCGCAGAGCCCGATGTGGGGCTCGAACCCATGAAACAGGAGATCATGACTTCAGCCAAAACCAAGAGTCAAGTACTTAACCGACTGAGCCACCCAGGCGTCCCTAATTCTCACTCTTCCTATAGGGCAGCAGGGGCCAGAGGAACAAGGGGCAGAGGAAGAAGAGGAAGAGGAGGAGGAGGAGGAGGAGGAAGAGTTGCAAGCGGTCCAGGTGTCAGAAAAAGAATTTAATTTTCTGGACTACCTGAAACGGTGCGGGCTGAGCAGACTGAGTTGGTCCCAGGTTGGCGACTACAGAGCTGGGAGGGCCATCACTGTCTTTCTCATGCTGACAGCCTCTTTCTCTGTGTCTTGGTGCAGTTTTGCAAGCTCAACTGTTGTGCGAGCCTACGTGCTGCTGCTGCGGAGCTACCGACAGAACAGTGCCCACACTAACCACTGCATTGTCAAGATGCTGCACCGGCTGGCCCATGACCTCAAAATGGAAGCCCTCCTTTTCCAGCTCTCCCTCTTCTGCCTCTTCAACCGTCTGCTTAGTGACCCAGCTGCTGGGGCCTATAAAGTGAGGGCATACCAAGGAACAGGGATGGAGAGGCATAGGGGGGTCCGGGGGTAATGAAGGGTAGTCTGCAAGAGATAAAGGGTGCTGAGTGATGTCAAGGGCTAAGAGAGGAGAGATCGGTGAGGAAGTAGGCAGGCAGGTGGACGGAGCTGGAGGGGCAGGGTAGGGGAGTCTGAGTGAGGAGAGGCAGCTGGGAATAGGTAGAAAATGGCTGGAGGGCCTGGTTTATATGTCCATTTAGGCCAGAGGTTTCACAGCAGCTTCCTCATCCCACAGGAGCTAGTGACTTTTGCCAAGTACATCCTGGGCAAGTTCTTTGCGTTGGCTGCAGTCAACCAAAAAGCCTTTGTGGAGCTGCTGTTCTGGAAGAACACAGCTGTGGTTCGAGAGATGGCCGAGGGCTATGGCTCTCTGGATGGCGGGTGAGCTTCAGGATGGGAAAGGATGGGCAGTAATGGTGGGTGACACAGTCACAGACTGTCAAAGCTGGAAGAGCTTGCAGATCAGATAGTCTGACTTTCTTCCTCTTCAATAGGTGAAAAAATAAGCTCCCAAGGTGAATTGCTTTCCCTGAGATCACCCAAGAGAGGAAGTGGGTCTGGAGCCTATCTCCTGTCTGCTCTAGTTTCCTTCCTTCACCAGCCTTCGTGGGGATGGTCAGTTGGCAGTGGGGTGGCCCTTGTCCCAAAGGTGCCCTGTCCCAAAATGTGCTGGGAAACCATAAAGATTCATGGAAATGTTTGCCTCTTTCCCTGTAGCTCAGCTCCTCTCCTTTCCCCATAATCTGCTCAGCCCCTGCAGTGTCCGCTTCCGTAGGCCCAACCCAGAAAATCTCTTCATTTGGCCTTTGGGTTCATAAGTGGAAGGAGAATGAAGGAAAGGAAGCACACCTTAGGCCACTGCTAGTGGCTCCTTTCAGTCACCTGCGTTGTCCTTCTTGTTCCTTTTGGAGCTGACCAAAGAGGGCCTTTGGTCTGCTCTTTGGGGCCAACATCCTACATGTTCCCTTTCTCCTCTCCCCATTTGTCAATTTATTTTTATTTTTATTCATTTATTTTTTTAACATTTATTTATTTTTGAGACAGAGAGCATGTGCAGGGGAGGGGTGGAGAGAGAGGGGCACAGAATCCGAAGCAGGTTTCAGGCTCTAAGCTGTCAGCACAGAGCCTGACACGAGGCTGTAACTCACAGACCATGAGATCGTGACCTGAGCCGAAGTCAGATGCTTAACTGACTGAGCCACCCAAGCACCCCTATTTTTATTTTATTTTATTTAAGTTTATTTATTTATTTATTTATTTTGAGAGAGAGTTTGTGCATAGGACGAGCAGAGAGAGAGGGAGAGAGAGACTTCTAAGCAGGCTCTGCACTGTCAGTGCAAGCAGCCTGATGCGGGGCTCAAACTCGAAAACCCATGAGATCACGATCTGAGCCGAAATCAAAGTGTGTGATGCTTAACTAATTGAGCCACCCAGGCACCCCTCCTTTCCCCATTTAGATCTTCCAGTCGCAGACCCCCGGTGTGGAGCCCAGAGGAGGAGGCCCAGCTTCAGGAACTGTACCTCACCCATAAGGATGTGGAAGGTATGAGTCCTTGAGATCTGAAGATTTTTGAAGCAGGCAGCCTGAGCTCCAGGACCCCTTTTTACTGCCTCACTCCCCCTCCATGTTAGGTCAGGATGTGGTAGACACCATCTTGGTGCACCTGAAAACCCCTCGGACACGCAAGCAAGTTATCCACCATCTGGTACGGCTGGGACTGGCTGACAGTGTCAGGGGCTTCCAAAGGTAGAGGCACATGTTCTGGAGGGCATTGAAATTGGGAGTCCTCGGTCCTCAGTTTGCTCCCTGGGCCCCCTCTTCCACTGACGTCTCCTTAAGCAGGAAAGGAACCCATATTGTACTGTGGACAGAAGATCAGGAGCTGGAGCTGCAGCGGCTTTTTGAGGAGTTCCAGGACTCAGATGGTGAGTGGAAGCTCAGGGAACCTTGGAGATGAGAGAGCCGAGCTGGCCATTGCTTCCCCCTGCCTCCTGTTCCCAAGGAAGGCTTATCTCATTCCTTCTTTCCACTTACCATACCTGTGGTGTCATTTGTGAGTGAATTGAATTAGCCTCTTTCCAAAGACCTCTGCTGTCTTTCACTCCTCCGTTTCCCCTGTTGCTTTAGGGAACTTACACTTTCTCTCTTTGTAGATGTGCTAGGTCATATCATGAAGAATATCACAGCCAAACGCTCACGGGCCCGAATAGTGGATAAGCTGCTGGCTCTGGGGCTGGTGGCTGAGCGGCGGGAGCTATATAAGAAACGCCGGAAGAAGCTGGCACCCTCGAGCTCGGTAACAGTCTTTCCCTGGCTCTGCAGGCTGGGCCCACTCCCCCTGAAGTGCCCCTCAGAGGTAGCTCACCCAGATTCTTCCTGCCTTAAGCTCTCTGGCTAGGTGTCTTCCCCTCCACACACACACACACCCCACCAGTTTCCAGGAGTGGTCAAGAACCAACGGACTCCACTCAGTTCTTCATCTTGTTTCCTTTTTAGCCTAATGGAGAGGAGTCCCTGAAAGATTTTTGCCAGGAAGATCTGGAAGAAGAGGAAATCCTGCCAGAGGAAGAGAGTGAAGAAGATGAAGAGAAAGAGGAGGACTCAGAAGCAGAGCAAGCCCAGGGTAGCTCAGTGCTTTCAACTGAAAACCTTGGGCAAAGCCTGTATCAGGAAGGTGAGGACTTGGCCTACGAGAGATGTCTCAGGTGGAGGGGTTGGTAGTATGGGCCAATTCTAAGTTTCCCTCCTTCCCTTAGGCTTTTCTGCTCCCCTCCTGTGGCTCCAGAACTGCCTGATTCGAGTAGCAGATGATCGAGAAGAGGATGGTGAGTGGATAAATGATGGTTTTCGGGGCTGGGGTACTGGAGGCTGCTGGAGAGCTGGCCGTGGGATGGATGACCAGTTCTTTCTTCAAAACTTCACCACATGACTACTGGCCCTATTCTAGGCTGCTCGCAGGCAGTGCCTTTGGTGCCGTTGACAGAAGAAAATGAGGAAGCAATGGAAAATGAACAGTTTCAACGGCTGTTGCGCAAGCTAGGAGTTCGGCCTCCTTCCTCTGGGCAGGTAAGTATGCCAGTTACGGTATCAGCTATGGCATATTACTGCTATTTTAAAATACGTACATCTCTTTCTCCTCGTTGCAGTTGCCATCTCTGACCTCATTTCCTCTCAACTTTGACCGAGACTCCTGCAGCAGCCATCCTGTTCATCTTCTCTAATCTCGCCTTCCCCTAGTCCATCTTCCATGTTGTCCTGAGTTTCCCTCATCCCTTCCTCCCTTCCTTCCTTCCCTTTTTATTTTCTTTTTATTTTTCCCTTATTAAGTAGGCTCCATGCCCAGTGTAGAGCCCAGTGTGGGGCTCAAACTCGCAACCCTGAGATCAAGACCTAACCACCTGAGCCACCTAGGCACCCCACAAGTTACCTTTCTAAAGTGGAATTTTGATTGTATTACTCCCCTGTCCATTACTTCCCTTTCTCTCCAGAAGAGATTATATTACTCTCCTGAACCAACCAACTGGATGGTTCTGCACTGTTGGCAGGACAGAGTCCTTGACCTCTGAGTGGCATGCTTGGCCTTGACCAGCCTTTGCAGCCTCATGGCCACGCCACCCACACACCTGTGTTTCCCCATCCTCCTCCTGGACTACTTTCTATTCTCCAAACAGTAGGCTTCTCATATATCCACACAGTTGATCGTGCCAGTCCCTCCATTGGACGGCTCCAGCCACACATACAAGGTGACACACACATTACCCATCTTCCTGACGACCCTCCGCTCGACCTTCAAGAGTCTGTTCAGTTCTTACCTCCTCAGAGAAGCAGTCCCTACCACTCCTTCAACCTCTAAAGTGAAAGTAATAACTTTGGTAGCTGGGATTTATTCATTCCCTTGATGTAGCCCCCATCCTGTGAGATTACAGTATGTTGGTTCTTTCTCCCATTAGATTGTGGGTTCCTTGAAAGCAGGGATCATATCTGATTTATCTTTGCATCCCCAATATCCATTCATTCATTTATTTTGTTATTTAAAAAAAATTTTTTAATGTTTATTTTTGAGAGAGAGAGACAGAGCAGGGGTGGGGCAGAGAGAGAAGGAGACAGAATCTGAAGCAGGCTCCATGTTCTGAGGTCTTAGCACAGAGCCTGACTCAGGGCTTGAACCCATGAACTGTGAGATCATGACCTGAGCTGAAGTCTGATGCTCAACCAACTGGGCCACCCAGACACCCCCATTCATTCATTTATTTAATTAACAACTGAATTTACTGGGAGCTTTGTGCTGTATGAGGCACTGTACTAGACATTGTGCATATACTGGATAAATAAGCAATAAGTAGAGTTTATTCAATGAATCATATTTTTCAATGAATATTATCAAGATCGGGTGAAGTAGAGTCTGCTCCTTTCCTACTGCTTTCATTTTCAACTTGTTTGCACCTGTAGGAAACCTTCTGGAGGATTCCAGCCAAGCTGAGTCCTTCCCAGCTCCGGAGGATAGCAGCTTCTTTGAGTCAGCCAGAGGAGGAGCAAAAACTTCGGCTAGGACTAGAACCGAAAGTCCCTGGAGAGCAAAACCCTGAGGAGGAGCACCAAAAGGAACAGCGAGCACAAGCCCTGAGGGCCCTCCAGTTGGCCCGGAAAAAGAAAGCTGGCCCGGTGTCCCCCAGCGGTAAGACCACTTACCTGTTGGGTACTAACTATGGGCTAGCCATGTTGATCTAGAGGGCTGATAGGGTATTTTGAGAAGATGAGGGCCCAGTTCTCTAATTCCATGCCTCTCATGGTCATCTCAGGGGAAGGGACCACTGGTGAGAAAGAACAGCTGCAAATGGTACCCAGGAAGCGACAACTGCTGGACAGCGATGAAGAACAGGAGGAGGATGAGGGCAAGAACAAAGGTAGGGAGTCTGACAGGGACCTGCTTTTTCTTCTGACCTCTAGCACTCTTCCCTTCAATCCCGAAGATCAGTGCTACTGTCCTTCTTTCCCCATAACATATTTAGATTCTCTCTCTCTTCTCACCCCTTTCATTCCCATAGCACTAGAGTCCAGAGCTCCAGGAATCCAAAAGAAGAAACGGTTTCAAATTGAGGATGAAGATGAGAATGACTGAAGTGCCAGAAGCTTTGGGGTAGAGGTAGATCATTTTTAGGTGGCGAATTTCAGTCAGACTTCAGAAACAGGACCCAGAAACTGCTCTTAGTAGACAGAAGCAGTAGAGTCCTGGGCTTCCCCAGGGATTTGGGGTCCAGGAATTTCCGGCAACAGTGTTGGGACAACTCTGCAATCACTTCTTGCGTCTCCCAGTTTTAGCAGTATGCCTCAGTAGCTCTCCAGAGACTTACCTCTCTTTTTCTAGGATCTGTTTCTTTGGGTTAGTAGCACCCCTTAGAAAATCGGAGGAGTGAGTGAGATATAGAAGGCACCTGGGACCCTGTTTGGCTTTCTGCCAGAGGTGGGTCACAGCACCAGATGGGGAGCTTTGTGACATGATGGGTGGGGGTGTTGCACCATTTTAAAAAAGCACCAGATGCTCCCATCCTCATTTTCTTTCCTGTGATCACTCCCAGGCACCAGATCGAACCCAATTCCTGTGGTTTAGGTAGGGTTGGGATGCAGTACTCTTGAGATGATGAACGTGTTTGGTTTGTGTTTGGTATTACATTCAATGTGTAAAGTTAAAAGTTGCCAATGTTGATGTGATGTGCCAATCTGTCTAAGTCTCCCAGCCTTCCACCTGCTATGTTCTTGGAAGAAGAGCCTTTAACTTTTAGGGTTAAAAGAGGCCATCACCCTTCCCTTTTCTCCTGCTTTCCCTACAGAAGACATGAAAACATTCTCACCTCAAGATCCTTTGTCTAGGATAAATCTTCAGGATGACAAGTGTATACAGCAGGAAGAAGCAGGAGCCACAAAGGGTGCAAGAGCCAGTTTTCCAGCATGGAGCAGAGTGGAGGATAAAGTCTGGGCAAGAAAGAGATGAATAAATACTGCAAATGCCGTGTCTTTTCCTGTTCTTGGAAACCATCAGCTTTCTGGCTCCCCGTGTTTCTAGCTAATGTGGGATGAAGGAGACATTCCAAAAATAGCTATTGAGATCAGGGATAGCCCTAGGTAAAGGATGCATTTGGATTGTCTTATTCTTCTGACTTGGTTTTTTTCCTCCCACAGCCTCTAAAGATAGGAGTGAAGCTACCTCTGGGTAATTGAAGTTTCCAAGGGCTAAGACATTTCCTAGCTTGGTCTGGTCTTGGTGTATCTTTATCCCAAGCCTTTCCCTACTTCCCAACCTGAGCACTTCAGCAGGGCCGTTCCGGCTCCCTTGTTGTGTCTTGCTGTCCACATTGGCTGTCTTTCCAAGAAATGCCCCCAAAGGGGCTCTGACCTGCCAGGCTTCTTTGAAACAAGTATAGACCATTTGCTGTGATTGGGCACAAAAGTGTTGCTATCCTTTTCCATTTATTTACCCTGTAGTTTTGAAATTTTTAAATGAAAAGAGGAATAAAAAGCTACTTTTACATATTTGAGTCATGGCCATCTGATTCTCACTCTAGATCTCCCTGGATCTTTGTGTTGAACTAGAGTGGGAATGTGGGAGGGAGAGGCAGATACTGCTAACAGAAATTTCAGGTTACTGGGGAGTGTCTGAGACCTGGACAAACTCAGTCAGTCAATACATGTGCAGTTCAGATCTTCCAGGAAGAAGAGGCGTAGGTGGAATTAGAAATGCAAGAGATTTGTTGGGGAAATGTTTTTGAAGGATAAAGGGGAGATAGAGCAGTGTAGATTGGGAGAGCCTATAGCCCATGATGGTGGTCAGATGCCTGTGAGAGGAGAAAGGGGAAAATCGCAGTGTTACTCAGAAAATCTTGTCCGACTGTTGGGGAGCCCCAAGCAAAGATTACCTGGTTGAGGAGCCCCATATCTGGCAGACACGGGCTAGCCCTAGCACCCTCCACCAGTTATTGGCTCCGAGCAGCCTGGAGAGAATGACGTGGGTGTGACTGCAGAAAATCCTAAGGAGTCAAAACTTAAGATGTCAGCCGAATAGACTCTTTACTGCATGTTCTTTTGAAGGGAGCTCTGAACAGAACGTTGCAGTACAAACGTGCAAACACTTGGCACAGTCGTGTCTCCCACTGATCACTGAGGCAAGCAGCCATTCCCTTTGTTCCCCTCCTACAAGACAGTACTGGGAGTGGAGCAACCTACTGGAAAGGCACACATCTCACTAAAGGGTGATTTGGGGCTCTTGCATTTAAGTAGAAAATGAAACAGAGAAGTCCCTGGTGACCTAGGAATAAGAGAGGCCAAGTGAGATCAGTTGGGTTCCATTTCCCATTCCATGGACCCTAACCTAAAAGGTACAGCCTAGAGGTGATGCATAAGTGAAACTTTATTTTCTAGCTCCCACTTCAGCAATAGTTTGATCGTTCATTGCTACATGTTAACACTCTATAGCTGCCATTTCATATGGAACCCAGACAAAGGTCCTGATGTCCTTTCCTTCATCCCCAGGATCCCAGCCACCCTCTGCACACCCCTGATTCTGTTAGACTTGGCCCCTAATGTTCCTGCCTGGCCTTATCCACATGGCCTCTCTACCCAAGATCTAATAGGCCTGGCACCAGGGAAGCCCTGGAGCAAGCTGGCTTTACCAAACTGATGCCTGGACCCACAGCTTTAGCTCTATAGTCTGGGATGTGTAAAAGTACATAGACCCACACCCACTAGCTCTAAGGACTCTGGAATAGCAGAGCACAGCGGGGAGAGTATTGTGTGGTACCTTGGCCCCTGTTCTGCAGGTGTTGGACTCAGGGAAGGCTACATGTGTCTGCCCCACTGAGGACTGGGAGCTGGAGCAGCCTGAGCACAATGAGGTCCCGTTGTTGACAGGAGTAGAACCCTACTATAAACTGCACAGCTTTATACTATACTGCTTAGAACTGCTCAGAGGCCGATAGATGACTGAGATGAGGCCATAGGCCTGGATTATGACCTTCTGATAATTGTGATGGTTAGGACTGATGCAGTTGTTGGTCAGCTCTGCATTTAAGCCTGTGGTAAGGGCTGAGGTTTAGCTCCAGTGTTACTATGAGAAACAGCCTCTTCCAGAGACAAGGGAGCAGAGCTTAGGGGAACCTTGGATGTGAGTGACCTGGAAGAAACAACTACCATGACCTCAAAGGGGCAGGTGTCAGAGGTAGTAAGTTGAGCTCTCTGCTGGTGATGGGTCTTGTTTAAGCGCTATAACTTAGAGCCTGGGACTGGGAGTTTTGTGCTAGAAGAAAACTAGATAGGCATAGAAGGAATGAATTCTAATTTTTTGATAAGCTGTGTGGCATTCAAAATCCAAAATAAACATTAGCTCTGATACCTATAGGATATACAGTGATGAAATATACAGTAGTTAAAAAGCATGCTAATTTAAATTTGTCTAACAGTTTTGTTTCATGGCCCAGATGTGGGTGTGTGTGTGTGTGTGTGTG